AGAGTCCCATGCAGGGCTGGATTTCAGGACCCTGAGATCATGACCTGAGCCAAAATTAAGAGTCTGATGCTCAACCCACTGAACCATCCAGGAAATCTGCAAACTCCTGTGGTGATTCTGATGCAAGGAATTGGCAGACCATTCTTGAGAAACGTGTGCTAGACTACTCTGAAAAATAAATGTATAGGGGTGCCCGGGTGGCTCAATCGTTAAGCGTCTGTCTTAGCCTCAGGTCATGATCCCCGGGGTCCTGGGATCAAGCCCCACATCAGGCTCCCCACTCAGCAAGGAGCCTGCTTCTCCCTCTCCCTCAGCCTGCTGCTCCCCCTACTTGTGCTCTCTCTCTCTCTGTCAAATACATACATAAAATCTTAAAAAAAAAAAACAAAAACGTACAAAAGGCTGTTCTTTGGTCTTTACATTTTATGTACCTAAGAAATTTATAAATGGGAAGGAAAGCTCTGGTGTCTAGTTAGTGAGTCAGACCCAATCACCACTCACCCTCCTTCTTCTGCTGTCACAAAGCTACACTTCTAGCGCCAACTGGCATAGCGTGGATGTTTACTTCCAACCCAGATTTTCCGGTTCTTTTTTTATGGAAAGGGTAATGTAGACCATCTTGAGCAAAAGAGGATGGAGGTGGTGAGTTTTGCTTGGATTTCTATGTTTCTGCTTTGATTCTCTTTTTAAATGTATGTTTCCTGTAAATATTTCACAAGGAGAAAGCGCCAAGGACCCTAAGAAACTATTTTGAAAATGAAAAATCTCTTCCTGGTTTAATGTGTAGCCTGACAGATGGACACCTACTGCTTTCTTTTGGAAGAGCTGCACGGGTTTTTCTTCTTTCCCTCTCTTTTATTTTTAAAAGTGATAGAAAGAAGGAATGATTCATCCATGTAATTAGAGTTCTCACATCATTGTTAAAGGAAATAAAAATTCATCAAGGAAACTTATATCTTCCATATCTAGTCATACATGAGAATGGACCTCAGGCTTTGGGGCTGTTCCTTGTAGACATCAAAGTAAATTTCCAAACAAACCAACATTATGTATTTGTTCTCATTTCAATATGACTTGCGGGGAAAAAAACTGCAAAAGGTGAAGCAGGACAAGGACTGATGAAGGCCATTTTAAGGAAATTTAAAAATACGAGATTAATATCTAGTTTTCTTTCTTTCTTTTTTTTTTTTTAAAGATTTTATTTATTTATTTGAGAGCCAGAGACAGAGATAGTGAGTGAGAACACTGAGCGGGGAGGAGAGGGAGAAGCAGGCTCCCCACTGAGCAGGGAGCCCAATGCGGGGCTTGATCCCAGGACCCTGGGATCATGACCTGCGCCGAAGGCAGACGCTTAACCGACTGAGCCACCCAGGTGCCCTAGTATCTAGTTTTCTTTATTCAAGTTAAAACTATTAATTTCAAGAAATTGATTGACTTATATATACATTACTTAATTTTTTTTAAAGATTTTATTTATTTATTTGAGACAGAAAGAATGAGAGACAGAGAGCATGAGAGGGAGGAGGGTCAGAGGGAGAAGCAGACTCCCTGCCGAGCAGGGAGCCCGATGCGGGACTCAATCCCGGGACTCCAGGATCATGACCTGAGCCGAAAGCAGTCGCTTAACCAACTGAGCCACCCAGGCGCCCCATTACTTATTAATATTTTGTATCGCACGTGATGATGTATAAGGAGCCAAAAAGGACCCAATTAGGGGAATTCTAGGATTTTGTCGATTTATTTGTTCATATAGGACTGCTGAAATTCCACTCACCCTTCTGTGCTCAGCTCAAGTGATGCCTCTCTGGGAAGCCTTCCTCTACTCCCCACCCCTAACTGTTTGTACACCTCTCCTTGGAGGCTTTGCTATAGTCAGCATTTTTAAATTTTTTTTAAATTTTTTATTCTTATGTTAATCCCCATACATTGCATCATTAGTTTTAGATGTAGTGTTCCATGATTCATTGTTTGTGCATAACACCCAGTGCTCCATGCAGAACGTGCCCTCCTCAATACCCACCACCAGGCTAACCCATCCTCCCACCCGCCTCCCCTCTAGAACCCTCAGTTTGTTTTTCAGAGTCCATTGTCTCTCATGGTTCGTCTACCCCTCCGATTTCCCCCCCTTCATTCTTCCCCACCTGCTACCTTCTTCTTCTTTTTTTTTTTTCTTAACATATATTGCATTATTTGTTTCAGAGGTACAGATCTGAGATTCAACAGTCTTGCACAATTCACAGCGCTTACCAGAGCACATACCCTCTCCAGTGTCTATCACCCAGTCACCCCATCCCTCCCACCCTACCCCCCACTCCAGCAACCCTCAGTTTGTTTCCTGCGATTAAGAATTCCTCATATCAGTGAGGTCATATGATACATGTCTTTCTCTGTTTGACTTATTTCGCTCAACATAATACCCTCCAGTTCCATCCACGTCGTTGCAAATGGCAAGATCTCATTCCTTTTGATGGCTGCATAATATTCCATTGTATATATATACCACATCTTCTTTATCCATTCATCTGTCGATGGACATCTTGGCTCTTTCCACAGTTTGGCTATTGTGGACATTGCTGCTATAAACATCGGGGTGCACATACCCTTTCGGATCCCTACTTTTGTGTCTTTGGGGTAAATACCCAGTAGTGCAATTGCTGGATCATAGGGTAGCTCTATTTTCAACTTTTTGAGGAACCTCCATAGCTATAGTCAGCATTTTGTGTTAACTTTATTATAGCTCTTGTTACCATCTTCCCTTGTAGTTTTTCATCCCTACTTGCTCCCTCCCTCCCTCCTTTCCTTTCTTTTGGGTGAATGATCTGTTATTTAGTCAGTTTTGTTTACAAGTGAAACTCTGGGAATTCAAAATTAACATCCTTGCTAGTGAACTTGCTACAGACAGCAGGAAAATCTTCACCCTTGTGTTCCACATTGTTTGGCTATGTTTTATCCAAATGCACCCTTATGAGCTGGCTGCCATCCAGTTTCACGTGGATTCTCTTGCCCATAATTTCATTTGGGAAGACTAAGCCCTCCAGGATTGTACCATGCACAACTGTCAGGGTGGAACACTTGCTTATTTTTTGTACAACTTTTTTGAGTTGGCTCAGGCAATGGGCAACAAAGACATTGCACTTCCCACTGAACTTTTTCTCCAGTTTATGAAATAGCTGGACTTAGATTTTCTGGGAAGATTTCAACTGAGGAATGGGAACAAAGATTAATAGCTTTCTGACCACCAATTTAAGTTTCCTTGGCTGTTGTTATATTCAACTCCCTTAGCTGGTCCTTGAGTTTTGAGTTCATTTTCAGCTCAAGGATAGCTTAGGAGGTGCTGGACTCTTCCATAGCTATTGGGCTTCATGATATTTTGGCTCGAACTGAACATGGCCTACTCTCTTTGGTGAGCACTGGCCTAACCACTATAGTTTCTTATTTGCTTAATTTACTTAGGAAACCGTGAGTATATTAAGACCTCAATCTGAATATATTTTGGCATTCCTTGTGCTCAGCACAGTGTCTGGCATATAATAGGTTTCTAACTAGCTGAGGTTAGTCTGAAAAATTATGTATTCATCTCTTTAACAGTGTGTGTATGTGATCCTTCAAATCTCAAACTGCTATGGTTGAAAGGAATCATTTATAATTTTCCAAAGTACAGATGGCTGTGATGAGATTTTCTAATCTCAGTGTCCATATTTGTAATATGGAGAGCTTGTTATCTCATAGGTGGTTGAGAACATCACTTATTAACTATGTGATGGTGGGTAACTGATCTAAACTTTTTTTTTTTTAAGATTTTATTTATTTATTTATTTGAGAGAGAGAGAGAGAAACAGCATGAGAGGGGATAGGGTCAGAGGGAGAAGCAGGCTCCCCGCTGAGCCGGGAGCCCGACGTGGGACTCCATCCCAGGACTCCGGGATGATGACCTGAGCTGAAGGCAGTCACTTAACCAACTGAGCCACCCAGGCGCCCTGATCTAAACTTTTTGAACCAGTTTCCTTGTCTTTAAATTTGAGTTAATGTGAGGATTAAGTGTGATAATCCATATAACCCACAATGCAATGCCTGCTAATGATAAGCACTCGATGATAATACTATTAACAATGAAATGAAGTATTAACAATGACATATATAGGGCACCTGGGTGGCTCAGTTGGTTAAGCGACTGCCTTCAGCTCAGGTCATGATCCTGGAGTCTCAGGATCGAGTCCCGCATCGGGCTCCCTGCTGGGCAGGGAGTCTGCTTCTCCCTCTGACCCTCCTCCCTCTCATGCTGTCTCTCATTCTCTCTCTCTCAAATAAATAAATAAGATCTTTAAAAAAAAAAAACAATGACATATATATTTTTTCTTGAGAGAGAGCATGCACATGCAAGTGGGGGAGAGGAGGGGCAGAGTGAGAGGGAGAGAGAGAATCTTAAGCAGGCTCTGTAAGCCAGGAGCCTGAGGCGGGGCTCCATCTCGTTACCCTGAAATCATGATCTGGGCTGAAAGCAAGAGTTGGATGCTTAACCCACTGAGCCACCCAGGTGCCCTGACAATGGCTTATATTAATAAATGACTGTTAACAATGAAATGAAGTTCTGTATGACGAAGTGCTGTAAAGTGATATTAAATGTAGGGTTTTGTCATTATTTTTGCCCTTATTATTATTGGGAGATAGAATAAGAGCCATAAATAAATTGATATTAATACTAGAATAAGAACTATAAATTAAGCAATACGTAAACGGATTCCACAGGTATTCCAATGTTTGGATCCGTTATTAGTAGTGGTGCATATTATATTATTATGCACATTATTAGCGTACTAAAAATAAAACCTGAACTACAAGTCCCATCATGCTTTCAAAGGCTGGCGTGGTGGTGAGGGGGTGGGGGGCGCCGAGAACCACTGGGACCGGATGTAGATAGAAAACTACATTTCCCAGAGGGCGGCACTCTCACATGGCCACTATATATATAGTCCATCCGGGTTCTTCGAGATGCTGTTTGGCGACTCGTCGCCATTCCCGGAGCACCTCGGCCTCGGCCTAGAGGCGAGTGTCGGTCGCTGTGTCGGAGACACCTGTCCCCGACACCAAGACAGCCAGCCCTCTCCGCTGCCCCGCGGCGGGAGAGCGTGTCCGGCCGGCCGGCGGGGCTCGCGCACCCTCCCTCGCCTCCCCTTCCCCCGCAGCCTCCGCCCCGCCAGGCCCGGCCCGGACCTCCGAGCCCCGGCCTCCTCCTCCTTTTTCTCTGTCACCACCGCCGCCGCCGGGCTCCACAGCCCCACCCGCCGCTTCTCTTTACAGTTTGAGAAGCTGAAGAAGGAAACAGGGAAAAATGTCGCCATGAAGGCCGAGAACCGCTGCCGCCGCCGACCCCCGCCGGCCCCGAACGCCATGAGCCTGGGTCCCCGCCGCGCCCGCTCCGCTCCGACCGCCGCCGCCGCCGAGGCCCCCGTTGATGCCGCAGAGCTCCCCCAGCGCCGCCGCCACCGCTTCCGACATGGACAAGAACAGCGGCTCCAGCAGCTCCTCCGCCTCTTCGGGCAGCAGCAAAGGGCAACAGCCGCCCCGCTCCGCGTCGGCGGGGCCGGCCGGCGAGTCTAAACCCAAGAGCGGTAAGGGCGGGCTCCCACGGGGCTGGGCGGGAGGGGGTGCGACTGCCCCGGAGGCTGGGGAGGATCCTCGCTCTGGTGTCTGCTGGGTCATCCAGGGACAGCTCCTTTTTCTACTATGGTTTCCTACCTTTCTCCCATATTTCCGTGGCTCCCATTATTTAAAAATTAACACTTAATGAGCACTGTGCAGAGTGGTTTACGTGAATCCTTGCATTAACCTTGCATTAATACTCGAAACAGATTGGTGAAGTAGGTGCTATTCTTATCCCCATTTTGCAGATGAGGAAACCGAGGTTCAGAAAAGGTAAGGTCACCCAGCCAGTATGTGCCTCACGGCCCGCCTTAAGACCTGGTTTGTCTGACTCACCAGTCCAAGCTCCTAAACCACCAAGTTGTGCTACCCTGTAATGTTGAATTAGCATTGGGTAGTGTTCAAGTTTAAACAGGGGAGGGTGGGGCCCAAGGATTTTTCAGACTCAAATTTCATATTTAATAACCTGGTCCCAGATCCATCCCTCTGTTGAAGAGGACTCGTCCTCGAATGGCTTTGTTCACTGTGGAGTAGTGGTTAAGAGCATGGGCTCTGATTCAGTCTTTTTAGATGGCCTTGAGCCTTCGAATTTCTTTTTCTGTAAATGTGCAGATAATAAAAATTAAATAAATTAACTTAGGAAGCAAATCAACTAAGAGCTTAGAAGAATACCTGACACCTATTATGCACCAAATACACATCATGCCTATTTCTCTGTGGTAGGTTAGAGTCCTTTCACAGGGAATATTTTGTCAATTTTGTAGTCATGCCTCTCAGTATTATGACCATTATGGTGATGATAGCTACCATTTATTGAGGGCTTACCATGTGCCAGGGAGTGGGCTAGGTTTATACTTCTGTTATCTGTACTCCAGTTATTAACCTATCCAGTAAGGTGGAATTGTTCATTTCTTTTTTTTTTTTTAAGATTTTATTTATTTATTTGAGAGAGAGAGCACATGAGATGGGGGAGGGCCAGAGGGAGAAGCAGACTCCCTGCTTAGCAGGGAGCCCAATGCGGGACTCGATCCAGGGACTCCAGGATCATGACCTGAGCCGAAGGCAGTCGCTTAACCAACTGAGCCACCCAGGCGCCCGGAATTGTTCATTTCTAAAGAAGGAAAAAGCCGAGAGGCCAGGAGTTTAGGAGTTGGCAGAGTCTGGAATTGAATATTCTTCTTACTTCAAAACCTATGTACAAATCTCTGCTATTTTGTGCTGTGATTATATTAGCAGTAATAGGAAGATGTTTTCAGTGGAAGCGGAGATGTGTGGCAGACAGGTGAACATTTGAAGTCCCCAAATGTGGAGGTCCAGTTTAAAACTTTTTAAGATTTAAAAACTATAAGGCTTAAAAACAAAAAGAAAAAAACAACTGTAAGGCTGACTTGTTCAGAATTAATCTATTGGATATAGCAAACTTGTTTACCTGGAATGCGGAGTACTTCTAGAAATTGGTTATAGAATTCCAGGTGGAGGGTAGTTGTCTTGATAATAAATGAATGCTTTAAATATCTAAGCAGAGATTAGTGTGGACTTTCTCGGGCAGTATTATGTAGATTAATTTGGGAGTTTTGCACATGTGTAGCTTTATCACAGATCCCTCTAGAGATAGAGGGTAGTCAGCGCTCTTGGCCAGTGTTGGAACTGCTGGTTTAGTGTGGTCTGAATATTTTTCAGGGTAGTTGATAAATAACTACTTTTGCACTCTATTCCCAGATATAAAGTTAAAGATGGTGATTTTCTAGCTATCTGAATTGTCAACTGGTTTTTCTGGGCTCCCCTTTAAGCCACTGACATAAAATAATGAGTCTCTTGCCATAAATGCCTTCAGTTTATTCTGTAATGAGGCGGTAGTTAAAGTTTGTGACAATCCAAACAAGAAAACTGAGGTATTTTAAAACATTTTACTCATTTTGTCCCTGACTTTGAATATGTTTATTAGGACTAACTCTGATTACCCAAGAGGTTGATAGAGAATTCTGTTGTAGTTTGACCAAGAAAATATTTGTCAGTGTTAATGTTTCAGATAGACTTGTATATAATATTTATTGTTGGGTTCATTTTGACTAAAGTGCTTTTTTAATGACAAATACTATAAAATGTTCTTAAAACACTTGTTCACCTTCTTAATTGAAAGCTTCTGAGGAAGGAAGTAAAAACTCCTGTAAAGGATTTTTTTTTTTTTTAAGATTTTATTTATTTATTTGTTCTTAGAATTACATCTTAGCCCTACTGGAACAAAGCTGTAGGAATATATCCATGGGATCCAGTCATGATCCCATGACCCTGGGATCATGACCTGAGCTGAAGGCAGACGGTTAACAACTGAGCCACCCAGGCGCCCCTCTTGTAAAGGATTTTTTGCTAAGTTTTAAGAAATATACAGTGTGCCCCCTGGTAGCATTAGGTTTTGTTTAGTATGTTAGAAAGCTTGTGCATGTTTGCCATTGCCAGTGCCTACTTTTCTGGTTACTGGTATGTACCCTTAGCAAATAGGAAGGATAGATTTGTAGCTAAATACAGAGTTGATAGCCATAATCCACTGCACGCATTTAGGAACAGACCAAAGGCAGAATAAGTAGATATTAAAAATGGCTTAGGAAATGCTGGATATTGGTTAACTTTTAAGGTGGAACTGAAGGGTAGCATATGCTACCTTAAGAACATTACAGCTAGCTAAGACCATGGCAGATATCATTTAGGACCTCTTATACAGTGATTCTGGAGGGCTGCTCTAACAAAACAGTAGGCTTAAATTCAGCGTAATTCCATGAGAGGTTTCTGTAGTATTTCAGAAGCTGACCCAACACTTCATGTACTAGATTCTGCTGGCAACTGTTGAAAGGACCTCTTGAGTTTCAGAATCCTGGGTTGAAGAAAGAAAAGGGAGGGTAAGGTGAAAATACATAACTTGCCTTCTTTTGTCAAAGTAACAGGAACAAGGATTGTTCAGATTTAAATATTTAATTCCCCTTTCCTCTCCTTTCCCTACCTCATGTGAGAAAAAGACCCTCTTCTATGTTCTAAACTGCATGTCAGAAATGGTCCTTTGCTTCCTAGTTACATGTTTAATATACTTGAGTCTTTGTTCCTGCAGTTGGCTTAAGTTCACGCACGCAGGAAATAGGTAAATTTGGCTCCTGAGATTTACTTGATCTTTGCTTTGCTTTGGCTAATTGCTTCAGACATTCACATAACATTCCTTTTCTTGGATATATTCCTACAGCTTTGTTCCAGTAGGGCTAAGATGTAATTCTAAGAACACTAACAGTGAGTAGCCCAGGAATATAGCCCAGAGGAGACAGGTGGTTTAGGGTTTGGGAAAAGTCATTTAGAAAAAGCAAAGAAAGTAAAAAGAGGCAAGAGAGGCTAAGCAGTTTATGGACAAACAATGGACCCTGGCCCAGAACCAGGCTCTTGCCCCATTCCCCTGGGCGGGGAATGGTACTACCATGGAGGTTAAGGGAAGGTCAGGTATTTTGAAGCAGTTATTTTGAGGTTGGTGATATGAAGCACTATCCTGACATACTTCCTCTTATTCCGGTACCAGGAGCCAGGTTACTAGTGGTAATCTGCCTTGAAGAATGCTTCTGAGTTGTAAATGGACCTGGAGGTTTTGATGGCTTTGAAAATTGAGGTGACTTGAACCTTTAATAAAAATCACTTAGAGAAGTTACAAGAATTTCTGGGCCTGTTGGCTGGAGTCCTTGGTTTATATGGCTTTGTTGGAAGTCTAGGGGGTGCTTTTGACAGGAGTGATTTAGATATATTAATAGTCTTCCAAATAATAATGGCAACTTTGTGCCAACCACTGTGGTAGACGTTTATAGAAGTTTTCTCTTAATCTTCATGGCCCTATGAGAGGCATGGTAGAGGATAAGCCTCATATCATGGACAAGAAAACTAAGGCTTTAGAGGGGGGTGAGAGTGATTTGTTCAAGTGAATTCTTTTTTTTTTTTAGAGAGAGGAGTGAGGGCTGGGGGGAGGGGCAGAAGGAGAGAGAGAATCTTAAGTGGGCTCCATGCCTGGCATGGCTCGATCACGCCCCTGAGATCATGACCTGAGCTGAAATCAGGAGTTCGATGCTTAACTGACTGAGCCATGCAGGTGCCCCTCAAGTGAATTCTTAAGAAGTCCTAGGCAGGGGGCCTGGGTGGCTTAGTCAGTTAAGTGCCTTCGGCTCAGGTCATGATCCCAGAGTCCTGGGATCAAGCCCCAGGGTCCTGAGCAGGGAGCCCGATTCTCCCTCTCCCTTTGCTGCTCCCCCTGCTTGTGTTCTCTGTCTCTGTCAAATAAATATATGTGCTGCCGAAGTGAGCACTCTGTCAAATAAATAAATAAAATCTTAAAAAAAAAGTCCTAGGCAATATTTATAAATTGCCCTTTGTATAAATTCACTTAACAGGCGGGTACCTTGGCACGTGTCATTCTTGATACCATCTCTCTCTTCCTTTCGTTCAGAATTACTAATTTCAGGGGTGCCTGGGTGGCTCAGTCATTGGGCGTCTGCCTTCAGCTCGGGTTGTGATCCCAGGGTCCAGGGATTGAGCCCTACATTGGGCTCCCTGCTCTGCAGGAAGCCTCCTTCTCTCCCCCTGCTTGTGTTCCCTCTCTAGCTGTGTCTTTCTTTGTCAAATAAATAAAATCTTAAAAAAAAAAAAAAAGAATTACTAATTTCAGCTGGATTCAATTTGTTGTCAGTTATTTCTATAGTGAGGCCCTATGTTGCCCCTCCAGAGGTGCTTGTCAACTACTCTGAGTGATGGGTAAGCAACTTGCTTGTGATTACAGCATGAATCAGCAGCAGAAACTTCCTGGCTGGTATTCTGACCTCTAGGTTGTGCCACCTGTTAGAACTAAAGCTAGAAATGTCGATGAAGCCAAATTATTTAACTGAAAAACTTGTGGCCTTTAATTTAGAAAGGGGGGAAAGACTGAGATGTGTTATTTGGTAGAGACTTTTCT